GTGGTGCGAACTACTTATAAGTAGTATATGACGTGAGTGTCAACGTAAAGTCTGGTAGCATAATATGGGGGGAAGATCAAGACAGGAAGACTTAGAAAACAATGGAATTTGTATGAAACGCATGAATAGTGACAATGGATTGATGTTTGGCAACAGAAACAGTCCAGTTCCACAGGATGAACTGATCTTTTGCAAATGAACGATTTACGATATAGTTTTCCAATTTTACTGAGTAACTCTGTAATTTTCGCTCAATGCAATTTGATTGTCCTCACCTGTGTGCTTCTTCACTACAGTAGCAGTAGTAGTAGTAGTAGTAGTAGTAGTAGTAGTAGCAGTAGTAGTATTAGTAGTAGTAGTAGTAGTAGTAGTAGTAGTAGTAGTAGTAGTAGTAGTGGTAGTAGTAGTAGTAGTAGTAGTAGTAGCAGTAGTAGTAGTAGTAGTAGCAGTAGTAGTAGTAGTGAAGGAGAACACAGGTGAGGGCAATCGGATTGTATTTGTCGCAAATTACAGAGTTACTCAGTAAAATAGGAAAACCATATCGTAACCGTTAATTTCCAAATCTTCAATCAATCATCAATCCATTGTCTGAAATTTCACTATTCATGCGTTTCATACAAATTCCATTGTGTTCCCACTGTTCCTTTCTTGATCTTCCCCCATCTTATGCTGCCACACATTACGTTTACACTCACGTCATATACTACTTATAAGTAGCGCGCACTAACCCGCTAACCTATCCAAAGAATATGAATCTGTCCTTGAAGAATAGTATTTTCTCTTTATTGATTTTATGGACGGTTTCTTATGGGCACATACAATATTCTAAGCAGATTACCTGAGCACTACTATTTAGCGACAAGTGTTGAAAAACCCGAATCGCAATCAAAAAAAGAACATAAACGAAGGAAATCACGAATACCCGACTGGAAAAGGATGGAACATGCGTCCTAGACTCTCCGTTGTCAGTCATAATCCAACCCCTGAATTCATGAATTCATGATTACTAATAATCATATGCATATTGAACTGATGAGTTTTCTGTGACTGGCGAATGCAACTAAAGTACTTTTACTTCATACCGCACCATCAACACTTCACTGAAGGTATCAGATTTATGGGAAGTGATAAATAAATGTTTAGTAAGCAATGAAGATGTCTCATTTAACTATTTTTTGGAAATATGCAAAAGTTGAAATCGAACCAACTAGGTCATCAGTTTTACCATCAACTATCAGTTTCACTAAACAAAGAAAATCTCTCTCATGTTCAATAATCCAATGAAGTCAATGATAAGATATTGTACTTCAAAAAAACAGTCTTATCACACTTGTGTTTAACTTAATTCGTTTATTTGTTTTATTTACTCGGGAAAAGTGGTTTTGTACAAAGTCACGAAATGTCAGAAATACCAATTGCTACTCACTGGATAATCAATCGCCAAAAAATTATTATTATGATTATTAGTATTAATCTAATCAACAACTCTACGCATTTAAAACAATATCATTAACGCTTAGAGCATAACAGTAAGTAGATGCAGTCGTTCAAACAGACAAAAAAAAACAACAGAATATCGATCGTGAATGAACGAATGGTATTAGACACTTTTTTTTAAAAAAATTCATTTTCTACCAAAGTATGAGTGTTGCATTTTTTTTTCCTTTCAGTTCATCGAATTAATTAAATTATTTGATAAATGTGAATAGAGATAAAGGTTAAATGACTGACAAAATAAACAATATTCATCAATTGATTTAAATGTTCAATATCCAATCTATTATATTGCAGGAGAATTCTCATTTAAAATCATTATTCAATACTAAAAACTTGCCGTAAATACAGCTTGACTGAATAATCATTAACTTCGTGTTGATCATATAAAAATATTATAATTTATAAATTGATTAAGATCAATGTTTAAATTTTAAACAGAAAAATAAAACACAACTCCAACTGTTCACTATACAAACACATGGAAGAAAATGATTGTTGTGAAAAGCGAAAAGAAAAGCTTAGCCACGCAAATAAATTACTACGCCTCATTAACAACAAAATGTTGTGGTTGTCTAACGATTTCAAATGGCAATTCGTTTCACCTGTTCGATAAGTGATTAGCGAGTAAAATAAGTCAGCATATTGATGAATATCAATAAATGTATGCTGACTGATAAAGTTGAATATGCATACCACATACAATGATTAGTGTTTAGTTTGCTACCGAAAAAAACGGCTAAATCTAAATGACACAACAATAAATCATTTGACTTAAACAATCATCCTATTCAATTTCGATTGTACACATATTGAACTGATGATCAGTTGAAAAGTTTTATCAAATCCGGGAATTGTCTCTTTTCATTTATTTGAAATTATTTGAATAAAAATTTGGGATTTACAAACAATTAATATTGCTATCATTAGTACTCCAGAAAGACTTTACTCATTCTAGCTATTAGGTAATAATCGGTCTATATAGAAGATGGTCAGAATATGAAGGTTGTTCAAGAACTAATGTAACCCAAACAACACAAATCATAATCAACTAACTCGGGTACTTGAAATTCAGTAAAAGCGAATTAGGTACTTTCAAAATATACAATGAATGATATAAAACTAACGAATGGTGAGGACATCTTTCTGTTTGGCATAGTTTGCGATGTCACAAATGTATAGAATATTCTCGAAACTATCCCTAATAAGGGAACACATTGACAAAGAACTGTCGAGCGCTACTCAATGTCTAGGGATTTCCTTTAATGAACTTACGCTTCAGTATGAAATATAATGATAGTTGTGATGTAAAACACAAACCTTTGGATCTGAAGCAATAAATATAACTACGGGAAAATTGATCAGCTTATTTAAATGCAATTACTCTATAAGTTTATGACTTTTGACAGTGGACTGATGATGAAAACATTTTTATCTATCTGTTTTTAAGCGCTTTATGGAGAATATTAAACTTATATCCCAAAATTAAATATTACATATTTATGACTCGAACAGAAGCCCGTTCCTTAAACTCAGATACCAGTCTACTGATCACTTGTTGGTGAACATGATTTTTTAGACAGAGATATTTATGAGCCTGTAGATACATCAGTCAGAAGTAGAAACAAGCGTGTTACTAATAATTTTTATCTTACTACTGAGGATGATGACATGAAATAAGAGTATAACAAACCGGTGTTGATTTGCCAAGGTGGGTCTACACCGATTCGATGATTCGCTTTCTAACATTCATAATTTGTTGGCTAAACTTTAATCGATTCCAGATTCAGTGAAATGATTATTTATTAAAATTCGTGTACATCCTTGACCGATCGATGTTGGTGACAGGTATTTTCTAAAATTGTCCAGTGATTCTGACAAATCAGGATTTCCACTATAACACACAAACAAGTGTTGGCCACGATTTAATCTTTAAAAAGATGTGTTTTTTTTTAAAACAAAAGTGTAAAATATAGACCGTAAGTTGTTCCGCTCTAGAGTGATGCTCAAATCCCTACCATCTGTAAATAATAAAACTGCTAACTCATGATCTATGTGTCTGTCTATATTGCCTACTCCATCACAGTAGACAGTAATAAAAGAAAGGCCTGATAGCCATTAAACTGTCCTGTAATGTTATAGTAGATGTTGGAAATATTTATCATCCATAGTAATACGCAAAATGGAAATTCAAGTGATAACCCCTTTTAATTTGCCACAATTCCAATTGCTCAACGAAAATTACTTGTCTTTTAAAATACAATAATTAGAATGAACCTACTAAGTGGCTTGTAAAGTGAATATAACTCTTTGCTTCTGTTTTTTTTTTGTCAGTCCAATAGATTACCATCATTTTTTTATTTATTTGTTAAATAGGCAATGTGTGACTTACATTCTGTCATGAATTGGATTGTATAGTTAGTTCTTCATGTTAAACTAGATAGAAGAAACAATGTTATTGCTGATTCAGCCAAATCATCTAGCTAGTTAATTCACTGTAATGCTGACCATATGTGATAAGTATTATGATTATTATAATTATTGTTGTTAAAACAAAAAGGACGTTTGAAGCATACAATACAACACAACACATGGAATTGACTTGTAAGCACCAAACTGCAAAAGGAAACTATGAAGGCACAGCATACTGGTTGCTTGTTTGTCCATAGCACATTGGACGGCTCTGAATGAATTAATTAATTAATTAAGTAGGGGAAGTAAGTAAACATGATTGTGCTAATAAACCAGTTGGTTAGTTATGACAATATTATATAATAGGGAAAATAAATTCAAAATTGGACAGATCACTAAACATGATAAATAATCTTGTTTTTTGCATAAAACAGTGATTGTCTATTTTGTAACGAAATCAAACGCTTGTACACTGATTATCATGTATTATATGATCTGAAAGGCATTATGTTATTCAGTCTACTAGGTTTGTTTGTGGTGGCCTTCAAATCTAAATAATAGTAAACTTAATCTAATTTGTGTAGACCAATCTCACTGCCTATCTAATTTCATTTTGAAATGAATCGAATAGTTTCATATCTGTTATTCACACAACACAACGGATGGAATTGATTTGTATCGTTCAAGTATTCCACTGTTACTTACTATGATCGATCGAACTTAGGGGGTTCCTAGCAGCAGCGTCGTCATCATAATCATCATAGCAATCAAAAATTATCATAAATTTGAATTTGAATTTTTTAAAGCTAATATTGAATTAACAATGTTCATTTACAATTGAATAGCTTGTGTTTTATTCATGAGATTACAATATTAGTGTATTTGACTAATTTGTAGAAAACGCAAATTTCAAATTTACATTTACCAACTTTACTGTGTCTATGAAACATTTTAAAATATTAATCAATAACATTTTAAAATATTAATCAATAAAGTCTACTAAATGTAACGTCTGTAAGAACGCACAATGAGGATAAAAAAAAAACTGAATAACACACTGTGCCTCACAACACCACACAGATAAACAAACTTACATTAACTGATTCATTCACTGTTTCCAGTTTATTCAGTGTGTCATAGTTTCCTTGTTTATGATAAGCGACTAAATCATTATTCATTGGACATTGAATCCCATTTTTTGTTACATGATGATGATGATGATGATGATACAATGATGATTGTGTACTGCTGCTGCTGCTGCTGCTGGCTGATGCAAGTGACACCACAGGTAATGATGATGAGATGGTTGTTGTTGTTGTTGTTGTTGACAGAGATGTCGATGTATTGACTGGTGGATTGGTTGATGTTGACAAGTGGTTATCATTGTGTGTGGTTTCATGAGTTTTCAGTCTTGTTAGTTTATTTGTTGTGTTGTAATCTGTTGAGATTAAATCGTTTATTGTATTGTTTTGATCATTGCCGCCGTGATTTACTTCATTGGATGACGATGTAAAATTCAATTGTAATGATTTAAGTAGGCATGAATTCAAATACTGCATTGACCGATAATATTGGGATTCATTATTTTGATCATGATGATGTTGATGATGATGATGATGATTAGTATTGGTATTGGTATTACTGTCAATATTCAATTGTTTGGTTATCAAATCAAAAGACTGACCAATGTGCTTTAATGAGTCTGTTCGTAGCCCAGCTATTTCTGTAGTCAATGTGTAATTCGGCTTAGTTGCGAGATAGAAACTATTTTGATCGGAATTTTCAATAAGATTAGTAGTAATGCTAGTTGTACTGTCACTGTTGTTGTTGTTTTGTTTATGCATAGTTGTACAAGCGGATAATTCGGCACTGTGCAAAATTGAACAATCCGATATGTTGGGCTGATGGTACATATGGGTTTGTTTATTAAACAGACTGTAATTATGACAAATCAACGGACTGATTATTGATTCTGTATGAGTTAACATGGAAACTGGGACAGTTTGTATACTGATCAGCCAAAAGTATGCTCTATAAATAAATAACAGAACAAAAGGGAAAATAACAGAAATTGTGTCAGTAAGATCACTCGTAAGCACTGTTTTATTGGTAACAGAAAGAAAAATCTCCCTAATATATGAGCAGAACTCCTTTACCAAACTGAAGTACAACCGCGTTAGTATAAAAATTGGAATTTTACTGTCAGTTTTACATTTATGCATAACATAGAATTCAATCTTCAATGATATTAGTGAGAAGAATATGCAGTTTATGATTTTTTTTTCTCCTATAAGTTGTCGAGATTAAAACGAAATTAACTAAGTGTTTTAAACAATTCATTTGCCTTCACACAACTTACTTCATCCTGACACTGAACCGTTAACAGAAGTGGCAAAATTTGCCATGATATATACAATTGTTGTTGACCTCAAATTTCTTGTGAAACACAACATATATATATGATTCACAAGTTGACTAAGTGTACCGATCAACTTTAGCTAAAATATCATTGTATATACCGTTGCCTTATAGATGGTTAGTGGATTGAGAAATGATCGACTCGGACTGAAAGGATAAATTACATTTTTTAACGATCACAGCAAAGAATACGTAAGAAAGATTTTCTGCATATCCACAAAGTGAACACTACTCATTTCAGTAATAGATTCCTCATATTTTACAATTTCTAGCTATATGTCGTAACATTTATTATATAAATGAAAGTTGTTTACCCAGTCTACAGAAAAATACATCCTGTCAACCGAAGCTGGTGATTCTATTTAACGAACATATAAAATTATTATAATTATTGCTAATTACTTAGAGACTCATCTAAAGAAAGCGTTTCATGTTATGCGAAATTGATTTCTTATCACCTTTACTTGATAGTAGTAGATTATTAACGGCCGTTAACAAAAATCAATGAGTTACAGGTTAATATGTCAAGAAAACCGGATTTCATATTTCGTTTGTGTTTGGAAGAATTGATATCCCATAGAATAAATGCGATTGACTATGAGAGAAACTTGATTGAATGATGTGTCTCACTACTTACGTTAGTCAATCATAACAGACCAAAAATAAACGGATTTATTATATTATATATACCTTGAATCAAAAAATATAAAAACTTTTTTTGTACAATACATAGGAAAATTCCTTCTAACCAACTGTAATCCGCAAATTTACATCTCATAACCCCTAAAGATAATCATGTCATTCTAAACGAGACAATTGACTATGCCTCATCGCCATAACAATCTCAATGAACAGATTTCATGCGATAGAATTTTAAAAATCAATATTCCTGATACACTCTGAGACCAGTGTGGCGCAAAGAGTATATTATAATACATGTTTCAACATTTTATATCACTTCATTTTCAACCAGACTGAAGAGTGCAGATTTTGTATTGAACAAGGGATTTCCCTTATAGTAAACAAAAAATAGATGTCCGTATATATGTTACAATCATCTCATCAAATCCGTTTATTTTCAATGAACTCTATTTACATATTATTATTTTTGGCTGTTTTGTTATTACTTCAATGATTACTTTTCAATTATCTCTAAGCGCCATTGATTTGTGTTACATGTGGAACATCATCTACAAAAAACAAAGATTTATTCACAATCCATCTTGAACAAGTATAAGTATACTACACCTTGATTACTTTCAATGCCTATCATTATATACCATATATATATATACAATTTAGTAATTTAATAAATAAAATGAAACTTACATTATTTGATGAAAATTATGTTATCCCAATGATTATTGAAGTATTCGAAAAAAAAAATCCGTGCAGTTGTACACAAAATGTACACAACAGTAATATTGATAATAATAATGATCGGTTGAAATTGAAAATTCTAGCGTTTCACTGGGGTTAAATAACAACACATCTTTTTTTATTGTGACTACACACATACATACATACATGCATACATAATTATTGATGCACATACGTATACACACACGCACACACATCGGGCATACATTTGTGCACAGTGTGATTTTGTGTTCGTTCGTTCGTTCGTCTGTTCGTTCAATAGAGCTTAATTACTTGAACACAGCTTTAACACATTGTTCATTCATCTTGTCCACCAATTTACTCTCCTTATTATTATTATTATTATTATTATTATTATTATAATTATTATTATTCACTCGTTCACACATTCATTCAGTCATTCATTCATTTCGTTTTGATTCGCTTAGTTGTTTGTTCGAACGATTTTTCATGTCTGCTTGAAAGTTTATGTGTCAAACTGTGTTATATGATTGACCGTGTATTATAAAACCTCCTCTCTCTCTCTCTCTCTCTCGATGAATTGAAACAGATGTTCAAGAGATTGGTGGATTTACGCAGTGTTTCAGCCAGTGTGTATGTGTGTGTGTGTGCATATATATACAAGACTGATCGTATGTACATCTCTGATTGTGTGTATATGTGTCTTTGGAGAGAGAGAGAGAGTGGTGAATGAACCACATTAGAAAAGATTGGTCTATCAGGTTAGTTTTGCAATGAGTTCGTTTATTTCTTCTCTCTCTCTCTCTCTGCTATCTCTCTCACTATCTCTCTATCTCTCTTGCTTTCAACCATAGCAAAAAAAGAAAACGTATGAACAGAAATTATATTTAGCTAAGTGAAGAATGCGGAGAAGTGTAGACATACCAATCATCATCAGTAGTAGTAGCAGTAGTAGTTTGTCATTGGCTAAACATACATTCCAGTGAAAGGGGTGACACATTTCGCAAGTGAAGGGAGTGTGGGTGGGGTGACAGAAGAAGAAGAAGAAGAGAAAGCCAATCTTGTCTAAAATACACCATTGGAAGGGTGGGACTGTGATATCAAAAAATTTCGAATCTACGATCAAGAGTTCGTTTTAATGTCTGTGGTTGAAAATAGACTTCCTACAACACACATACACACACACACCAGTGCATTTAAGAAAAAAATTTCTGACTACACACAAATAGTGTAATTTTTTTCAAGAACAATGGGAAAAATAGTCGATCGAATTGCAATTCAATTGTACAGAGATGACTAAATTATTTTTTTTTAACTTTGGCAATATGATTGAATTCAATTCAAGTACACATAACATAACATAACATCAGAGCGAAGAAAATTTATTCCCGCAGTTTGTTCTGATTGGTTGTTTGGTGTTAATTTCACAACTAAAAATTACATTATACACAAGAAATAGTCAATTTTCACATATATCAGTAAATATTTTTTAGAAAAAATGAAAAATCAGAATATTCATTAATAGAGGAAACACAAAAAACGATCAATTATATATTTAGAGGCAGTGGCATGAATCGATTAGTAGGATTTTAGTGAAGAAGAACACAGATGAGGGCAACCGAATTGTACTTCCTTACTTACTTACGCCTTTTACCCCCAATAGAGAGTAGGTCGTCCACCATTTTTCTCCAACCAAATCTGTCCTGGGCTTCCCTTTCACCTTCTTGATAATTTTTGTTCATTCCTCTCATATCTTTGTCTATTTCTCGGCGTAATGTGTTCGTTGACCTTCCTCTTTTCCTTTTGCCTTCAGGGTTCCATGTGAGGGCTTGTCTCGTGATGCAGTTAGGTGCTTTCCGCAATGTGTGTCCTATCCACTTTCACCACTTCTTCCTGAATTCCTCCTCCACTAGAATCGGGTTTGTTTTCTCCTACATTACGTTGTTGCTGATGGTGTCTGGTCAAAGAATCCGAAGTATTTTAAATAGACAACTGTTAATAAACACTTGTGTCTTCTGGATGATGGCTTTGGTAGTTCTCCAAGTTTCCGCTCCATACAGTAGAACTGTCTTCACATTTGTATTGAAAATCCTGATTTTGGTTTTGGTTGAAAGTTGTTTGGAGTTCCAGATATTTTTCAACTGTAGAAATGCAGCCCTTGCTTTGCCGATCCGCGCCCTCACATCTGCATCGGATCCACCTTTCTCGTCGATGATGCTGCCCAGATATGTAAAGGTGTTAACGTCCTCCAAGGCATCTCCATCAAGAGTGATTTGGTTGGTGCATGTTGTGTTGCATCGGAGAATCTTGCTTTTTCCTTTATGTATGTTCAGACCTGCTGCTGCTACACTGTTCATCTTCACTTGCATTTGTTTTTGCGTGTATGATAGAAGAGCCAGGTCATCTGCGAAGTCCAGATCGTGCAGCTGCGACCTAACTGTCCAGTTTATACCGTGCTTCCCTCCAGATGTCGACGTCTTCATAATCCAGTCGATCACCAGGAGAAAGAGCAAGGGTGAGAGTAAGCAACATTGCCTGACACCGGTCTTCACCTCGAAAGAGTCTGTTAGGTGTCCTTTGTGTACGATTTTGCAGTTGAATCCATCATAAGAATTCCGTATGATGTTAACTATTTTCTCAGGCACACCGTAGTGTCGAAGAAGCCTCCATAGTGTTTTCCTGTCCACGCTATTGAATGCTTTCTCGTAGTCGATGAAGTTGATGTAGAGTGGTGAGTTCCATTCAATTGATTGTTCCACAATGATCCGTAATGTAGCAATTCGGTCAGTACACGATTGATCCTTACGAAATCCGGCCTGTTGATCTCGAAGTTGGGCGTCTACGAAATCCTTCATTCTGTTTAACAATACCCTGTTGAAGACTTTGCCTCGATTTGAAAGAAGAGTGATGCCTGTGTAGTTCTCACACTTGCTGAGATCGCCTTTCTTTGGTATTTTGATGAGGTATCCTTCTTTCCAATCTGATGGTACTTGTTCCTCATTCCAAATCTTCTTGAAGAGGATGTATAATATTTTTGCAGTTGCTTCTACATCTGCTTTCAACCGAATTGTACTTATCGCAAATTACCGAGTTAATTGGTAAAATAGGAAAACCATATCGTAAATCGTTAATTTGTAAAATATCAATCCATCATATCGAACTGGACTGTTCCTGTTACAAATCTTCAATCCATTGTCTGAAATTTCACTATTCATGCGTTTCATACAAATTCCAATGTGTTCCCTTTTCTTCCCTTCTTGATCTTCCACCATCTTCTGCTGCCAGACATTACGTTTACACTCGCGTCATATACTACTTATAAGTAGCGCGCACCACAGGATCACAGTGACAGCGCAAATATGCAAGTTTGCGTCAAGTGCGATAGAGTATAGTTCACTTTTTTTGGGTCGGCCTTATTATTACTTTTGACGATGGCACATTTTAGTGTGATATCGAGACAAACTTCCTTTTATAACACTGAATTTGTAGTTGACACTTGTATGTGTCTCGGAATTCTTCAGCTACATTGAAACGTTTCTAGATTAGGACGACAGTTCGGTTGTGTTAAATGTGCTTGAACATCTTAATGATATTCTGATTACTTGTAAAATTTGGTACTTGTATATTACTAACCTCATTGAATTAAGATGAGTTGTCTGGTATGAAATTCCATCATGATCGATCGAAGGTAGGAGATGAATTGTTCTGATTATAATGTCACTTGATAGGTGGATTTTCGCATTTCAACAATTTGAAATGTTTCACTCAACTGTGCACAAGGCTCAGGTGAAAAGGTTCGAGTTCCTAGAACTCATCCATCAAAGATATGAAAGCACTTGCAGCTAGTTGAATGGATTTAGACTCTCATATGCTTTGAATCTGAAGTGAATATACAACACTACATTTTAGGCAAAAATCATACCATGTGATGTTGTGCCTATTTCTACAATCAGCTCATAAAAACATGTCACAGTTAGATGAGTAAATTATAACAAACAGTCAACCATCTATCACCTAGTTTTCAAGATATGGAGCTGAAAGAACTCTAACTGGAATGGATCTTTAGTGTTACTTTCGATGACAAAGGGTAGATGATCAAACGAAGGAGTTGATTAAAAATAATTATTACCAATCATAAAATTAAACACGTTTTCATTCGATTCTAGCATCCTGTCATAGTGTAATGATTTCTATAAGAGCATACAGTTTAATCACGCAAAGGCTGTCTTCAACCTGATGAAGGAGGAAATAAGTAATTGTAATTATACGGTTTATTGTTAGTTATATCAACTAAGTGTGTGATATAGTCGATGAAATGTTCAGCATTAAATAATCTCATTGAAACAGTTACTTTGAATTTTGAAACACGAGTGTGAAGGATTACTCACTTACTTTACTTAGGCCTTTTACCCCCAATAGAGAGTAGGCCGCCCACCAGTTCCCTCCAACCAACTCTGTCCTGGGCTTCCCTCTCCAGTTCTGTCCAATGTTTGTTCATTCCTCTCATATCTTTCTCTATTTCTCGGCGTAATGTGTTCCTCGTCCTTCCTCTTTTCCTTTCACCTTGAGGATTCCATGTGAGGGCTTGTCTCGTGATGCAGTTAGGTGCTTTTCGTAGTGTGTGTCCTATGCACTTCCACCGCTTCTTCCTGATTTCCTCATCCACTGGAATCTGGTTTGTTCTTTCCCACAGTTCGTTGTTGCTGATCGTGTCTGGCCAACGAATCCGAAGTATTTTGCGTACACAACTGTTAATAAACACTTGTATCTTCTGAATGATGGCTTTCGTATTTCTTTAAGTTTCCGCTCCAAACAGTTCAGCTGTCCTGACATTTATATTGAAAATCCTGATTTTGGTTTTGGTTGAAAGTTGTTTGGAGTTCCAGATATTTTTCAACTGTAGAAATGCAGCCCTCGCTTTGCCAATCCGCACCCTCACATCTGGTTGTTTAAAATGATGAAAGGTAATCTCCATAGAATTTAATTATTTCAAATACTTCTTTTGAATTATTTTCATTTTTTGAATTATTACAAACTGCTGTTACTCTAGTGGTGCATAGGCCACCGACCACGATTCTCCGACAAACTCTGAAT